TAGAATCAAGAGTAGCCAAATATGCTTTCAGTCAAAGTCGATTTTCTCAGCCATAATCGCTGCGAAATACCACGGCAGAAATGCTCTGAAGAGATCATTGACTAGGGTTTACATATGTTTTACAATGGATGTTCAAAAATTATCCCTGAAGATTTCACAACATACACATGGAAATGGGCCAAAGACTTTTGGGACAACCTAATAGAACCTTGTACGTCCCATGGACCCGTGCACGCCCACCGTGGTGGTATCTCATCTGTCATATCATTGATCGATTATCCTCTCCGGCTAGAGATTGGTTTTCGCTATTCCTCGGCAACCGCTATATCTTATCTCGCGTATTGTCTTCCTGTTAGACTCCTCCACAGTGGAAATAGAAGGCCCGAATACTGGTTATTTTCAAGGTTTCTTTCCCTTCTTGGTCCACTTTGCACCTCTACTTTGGTATTTGAGTGAAATCAGCATATCAGTTTCAGATTTCAGTTTCACTCGAACGCGAAAGTAGGAATGAGGGCCACAAGTTGAGGAAAAACTAAGAAATATAGCCAAAAACACAGGTGATACAAACCTTCCTGCTCTACGCTGCGGAGAAGTCTAAGAGGCAGACGGCGAAATCACAGATTATGTGAGTCGCGAGAAGTGAACGGACCCCGCATCGAGAGAGCCCGGGTGCGCTTGCAGCTTCTCCTCCTCAAGTCAAGTCACCTAAAATTATGACACCACTCATTTGCTCGAAGCAAGCCTTAGGACTAAGCCTAGGCCCAATCATAGGCTTAGCATAAGCCAATGTGTAAGCATAAGCCTAAGCCTAAGTCTGAACCCAAGCTTAACCTTAGGCTTCAATGATCGCGCAGCTCTGGTGACCTGACCTAGGAGGAGAACTGAACGTCTCCCAGAAGCACAGCTGATCAACCAACACGGCAAAGGAAGATATTGTACGGTGGGTGATACGGTTCGATGGGCATCGGCGGATTGAAATATGGACGCACAGCACAGTAATGAGGCGTTTTATGATGCTAAGTTGTCGCAACCTCTACAGTTGCTACCCATCCTCCAACCGGGAGAAACCTCTTTAGTGACGCTGAACCCGACGTTTGCTTTTAATCTTGGTTTTACCATGTGTGGATGGAAGACGCGGAATAGATACAAATTTGACAAGGCTGGTCCAGGAATGAAGCATGGAATCCGCGAACATGTGAGCATACAGCCTTTACACTTCGTAAGTTACTTCCCTCCCTTCCCTTTTGGTTGTCACTGTTCTTAGAAATTCAACAAAGCGTTGTTGGACGCTCACTCTTACTGCGTCCCTATGCTACGGTGGGACGGGAGTCTGTGTCCCTCATGTTGCGTCATGATCTCTCACCGCTCTACTTTTCAACTGTTTTCCGATAGTAACCAAGTGAGACCTTACAGTCGAAACGGCACGTGGGTTCGGAGATCGAGTTGTGGTGATTTCCGCATGCATCGAAACAGCTTAAGTGCAAGAGAATGGAACGGCCAGTGAGATGAAAACGGAGAAAGAGGCACGTCGACAAGACCGAAAACAGAAACCTTCCCCGCTCGGTAACAGCGGCGAAGGAGAGTTTGGCTTCGGAGACTGAATCTCGAACGAAATGTTGCGCCATTGCTTCCTCCGTGAAAGCAGCTGATACAGCAGTCAACCCAACTGATTTCACGCCTTATGCCAGCCATGCACCGCTCCCGGCGGTGGGTGGTCATAGCTCACGTCGTCCCAAATGCTAGGTCGGGGTTGTCGTAGCCGCGCGGCTGTTCAAATCACGAGCGGGCGGCATCACCTCTATGTGTTGCAGGACTTCAGTCAGGAGTATCAACAGGTGCGAGTTCCTTGTGATCGCCTGATCCTGCACGCGCTGGGTCAGCAGGCAAAGATCGGATCAAGACCCACTTAAAGCCGGAGCGGGTCATAGTTTGCGAATCGAGCGATTCGCTAGCGAGTCACTGGATCCGAGTCTAACATCGGACCTAACAAGCCCTTACCGTAGCTAAAAGTGCTAGGTAGGCTAGTGCAGAGGTCGCGCCACTAGCTCACATCGAATGCAGTTAACTAGGGCTGCTTAAATCACGGGACTTGCTACAGACTCCACCCAAACCTTAACATTGGTCGCGCCACCGTTCCGATATCTTGTCTGCGTCGCCACGTTGATCTGCTATGCTCTCTCTTCTCGGACTTCTCTCTACACTCTCCGCGCTCACATTATCTCTCATCTCCCTGCCTGTCTTTTGAACTTCTCCACAGCATGGAGCAAAATGCTCGTATTTCCTGTGTATTTCAGGATTTTCTTTCCTTTTTTCTCCACTGGCGGTCCACCTCCCATCCCTACTTTCACATTTGAGTGGAATTACCGTATCAATTTAGTTCCTGATTCTTGCCTTTAAAGTAGACCATTATTTCCAGCGTTTTTGATGCTGCTTTCCCTTCACTGACGGTCGTTTTCGCACACCCAATTTCATCTTCGAGCGTAATAAACAACAATTTTAATTGTAGGATGCTTTTGAACATTTGAGGAACCTACAGGAATATTATGGGCAATTTTTATCATAAAAGGAACAGAAATCAAATAAATACACACATTTCATCTATTAACAAGTGATATGACATAGAACATCTCAAGTGAAATCTATGGGCTATTTACAAACAGCAGTCAATAATAAATCCAATTGGATGCGATGAGGCAGTGAAGAGCATAAAATGGGTGCACCTAAGGTGACATGAAAGAGAAACAATAAAACCATACACGGAGGAGAGTAGAGCAGACGGAAGACAACGAGACCGGTTTACTGTAAGCAACAAAGTACGTAAGCACCAGCGCTGTATGGAACACTGGACCAAAGTTGACATAGAAATTTCAGTGAGCAAATTGCAAAAATCAGTCTAAGCTTAGTAAATAGGACCGCCGGGAAATGAGCTTTTGCTAGATTATTAATGCTACCATTGGTCCTCTAATGAACATCTACATTCACAAAGTAGAACCAGGCAAAAAAAGTAGAACCAGAGTACGGTAGTGGTCAAAAGTATTCGCGTTAACAGTTTTTTCAAGGAACCTCAGAGTTCAACTAAAAACTCTAACCTGTAATTTTGAAAACCCCGATGAATTTAGGATTAAAATGAACCAAAAACCATAATATACTAACCCATTGACTACCGCCGTTGTCCATGTATCTACCTTATCTTTTTTTTCTAATTCTCACCAAATCTTAATTCACTAAGAATTTCATTATAAGTGATGAGTATACTGTTCTTCTATTTTCCGTATCAGATAATGCATATGAAGAGTTTGGGGACCGGCGGGGACATATATATCTCGCGCTGTCCCCGATGCGTTAAGGTAAGTTGAAGCGCAGAAAACTATTTCAGCAAACACTTTCGACCGCTACCGTATATGTGAGACGTATACAATTTCAAAAATTACAAGTATAACATTACCATCTCATTATCAAATTGGTCAGACCTTAGTCTCAGGACCTACACTTTCAGAACTCGATTGGAACGAGTCGCGTAATCGAATCATCTGACGTGCGATGATGTTGCCGTATACCTTGTTGTACCACGAAGGACCTCGACCCCTGGAAATTATTGTAACAGTAATAAGAGACATTCAAGCCAAGTAATTTGTCTTTCGTAAAGCACTTTTCTTACTATGAAGGGCATAAACCTTTCAAAATTCAAAATTTAGAGCTTCTGCTCAAATTGTTAGAGTATACAAACGAAAATCACGGAACATTCCTACACTCAATAAACACAACACCGTCCTCTGTTGTATTCGAAATAGCCACCTATGCGTGCATCCAATAAATAAACAAATGAATAAATAAATAAATCCTTACAGGATATGCAAATTTAGTACCTGAGATCAACTCTGGAGAGATAAGTGACTCGTGAGTGGCCAGCCTTTGGCTCGATCAGGAATCGGCTATCCAGCACCACAGCTGAGATGCCTCCTAGCAATTGCGTTTCATTGCAATGCACACTTCGTTCAGCTACGGCGCATGCACCACGAATCTCCGAAAGATCTGCACGATGGAACCTGGAATTCGTTCCTTTAGTTTTTTTTTTCGGTGATAACGGTAACGTAAACATCAATCTCTATGAAAAACCCTGTGAAGGAATTTTAATAAAGATTAGCTGCTTTGGTTCCCTCAGAGTTTCTGTTGCACTTTAAAGGCAATCGACCAACAGAAGGAGCAGAGGACTCTAATCGAGACGAAAACTCAATCGCCAATTGCCTGTTACTGACACCCCAAGAACACTGCTCACCTTTGTGAGCTAATGCAATACGTTTTCACTTACCGAGCGACAAAACAGTCTCGTGTCGGATGCCCGATGGTGTCGTTAAGCACGTATTGGTGGAGATCCGTGTCCGGAACGTGTAGAACGTCGATTATTCGCCAATTTACGACTGAAGTGTCCCACACGTTCCTACAAAAAGAAACATTCAGTTATTGAATGGAAGCATTAGGGAAACTTCGTAGCATTAGGAGTCCTAAGTTGAACAAGTAATATCGTTTGCAGAATTTTCTATACAGGCCATTTTCTCCACCTCTCTTATCCACGGCCGTCCAACAATTTTGGCCCTATTTTGACTACTCAAATACCGCGCGCGCATCATGATGGATCGACGGATATTATGCGCCTAGCCATGCAAACCTTTTATCCATCGTTCCGTGTCGGGAGGTCTGCGCCTGGGGCATCACGCATAGACAATACACCGGCCCCACGCTTGAACAAATGCCCCTTCCTTCCCCTACGTTGGGTCCACCCTCTCTGCTACGGTACGAGGCATCAATGTTGAAAGATGGATGTGACTCACGATAAGGTCGGAGGTAATAAGAAAATATACCTACTCGAACGGCAGTTGGGCCTTTTAGGGGTGCTGACGATGCGCGTATTAACGCGAAGAGAATTCCGCGCAGCCATAGCAAAGCCACTCGCGCCGCTGCCCGCCCACTCCTTCGCCACCTGACTTTGGCCGCTCTAGCAAGGAAAGCGTTGGCGTGAAAAGAACGATCAATGTGGAAATTAACTACCAAGGAAGTTCTCGGGCTCTGGGCCATTTTTCATTGTTTTACTTCAATCCCTGCCACTCTCCGCCCCTCTTAGCCTAGATTTCTAATGGGGCTGCTGTTCCATTGTGAGCTCCGCCTCTAGGGCATATGTAAAGGGCAGTATTGCTATGTAAAGGATGCTTGACGGCAACGAAGTTTTTTTTTCAATTTTCTGCACCCATTCTGCACTGTTAGTTCATAGTTTTCCGCTGCACGTTATCTTCCTATCAGCAGCAATTGCAACCAATTACCTTGGATCGTAACGCCATCATTAATTTACTTACTTTAACAACTGTACTGATACACAAAATAAAGTGATTCCTTATACGACTTCAGACATATGTTGTGACGGGGGTCTTCATCAGCCAGTCTGTCAATCTGGGCGTGACGCTGGTACTAGATCTTATTTTGCAATTTCTGCAGGGGCATAGTCTTTGAGCCTCTGCAAGGATTGAACTCGAGGGTTTCAGAGGCGCAAACATGGCACAAAAATGCAAATCACACGAACCAGAAGCGCTTGAAGTGTGAACTGTGGCTTACGGCAAGCAAAAACCAGTGTATTAACCCATTCGTGACAATGGCAGCCACCGGTGGCTGACAAAGATCTCACTCGGGACAATGGTATCCACCGTGGCTGCCGTGTTTCAAATGGAATTTGGAAAGTTTTCTTTCCTGAAAAATCTTCATACCCTCATTCATCTACGCCAGCCCTGGGCAGGGGAAATCTCCATCCACTCAAATTTTATTGAAGAAAAATCTCCTGACTCTCCTGCTATTGCAATCCGCGCGGTCGCGAATGGGTTAAATCTGCCCTACCTTTCGCGCATGATCCGATTCATGACTTGTTTCGGTGGAGCAGCCACATCTATCCACACGCGAAACAATTTCAACGGATGGCAGTCATTTGGTACTTTGCACGAGATCTCCACTTCTTCATGTGTTCCTTCGAACATCCAACCCTTCCAACGTTCGGAATGCTCCTGAAAGCTCACAGATCTTGTCAATAAAAGTCGATAAAGCAGCGTAAATAGCCTTCGAAGTTGATGTAAGTTTCAAAAGATTTGCTGCCTAGTAAGCGACTTGCTTATTCACAGCTAGTGTCTCTAGAAAGCTATTCACCGGTTAACCGATTGAAGAAATTATGTAGCAGCTTCAGGCCGGAGCGATTACGGTAGGCCTCGTTGAGCTCGACGGTGATGGCAGATGACGTCATATTCTGGAGACGGTGAGGGCAGTGAAGGAGGGCCTGCTTCTGCTTATGGGGGGACACCTAAGGAATATTTTGCCGTAAACTTTCATTAACAGCGGCACCCTTTGCGACGAAAAGTTCGATGATGTGCGCCATAGGTAAAGTGACTCTTTTTTGGCCTTCCCTATGTATCTTTCAAAAGAAATGAAAACAAATCGCTGTTCACTAACCTTAACCAGATCCAAGACTTTGTCGATGAGATAGGCTCGTGGACCGTTCAAGCCGAGTTCTTTGAGCAAAGGTGTGTCATTGTCGGATTGTAATCTGTAAACGGCCATTTGACGTAGCCATTCACGGAATACTATCACTGTGAAATCAGCAACGATCACCTGTCTTCAGAGCTCGTTTCCGGGGTTATGAATACACTTCGGCAATGTTGTATCAAGAAAGTAAGACATTGTTGAGCAGCTTTTGTTTCCCGCATCTTCGCGTTCCGTCGGCATTCCAGCAGCGCCAATCGTCTTATGCCGTCTGAAAGCGACTCAAAGATACAGCTGTTCCATCATCACAGAAAATTGTCTATATATTTACCGTGTTGGTGTGATTTTGTCGAGGCGAGAAGCACTCAGGTGAAACAGGGAGGGAGTGAAGCAGACCGACAGGTTTTTTGAGCAGGCATCTGAAGCAGCAATACTGTCAATAATTAGTCCTTGACTCACATTGCAAACTATTGAGAGCTTCCCTGCGACCAATCTCCTCAAAAGAAATTAGTATCCAGTAAAAACAATATATGTTACATAGAAGCAGATAAACTTCTTTTCGATGTCCACCTTTAGGTCATTAAAAGACACGGTTGCAATAGATATTTGCTGAGCTCGCGATAGCAGACGACAAGCTTCGCTTGGTGTCTACAAGGGTACGCTTCATGGAAACTAAGCGCCAACGGGACGCGACCCTCCTCCCTAACTTGGCTCCTTTTCTACCTTCGCTGTAGATCCCCCCAAGTCTTAACTTGGCTGCTGATCTGCGTTCACTGTAGTTACTTCTAGAAGGTGGAAGTTCTATGGCGGTAACAATCAAAAATAAACGAGTGTCCTGAAACTCAATAAACATTTTTTTTGAAGTTATGAAATATTCCCGAAATCCCCCTCGACCACGCTCATTCCTATTTCTCATCTCTCCAGATTCTTACGCTCGATACCCTTAGACTCGACATTACATTCCCCGAACCAGAACGCAGTGGCTGTGTCCTCTCCCTATTCACACGTGGGGTAATCTTATATTGGTTCATCGTGACTGCGACTGCAATGAAATCAAAGCGAACGAAAGTTGCCAATAAGCTATTGGACACTGGTTTGAGTCACTGCCACAGAGGCCCTGATTCCCTGAGAGATTTGAAGCAGGCCCCTTTAAAAACCGAACAGAATTTCGATATAAGAGATCTGGAAAACTTACACTATTACATTCCGCATGCTTGGACACATCACTAAGGAACAGCAACAACGTCTGAAGAGCCTCGCGGTTTTCATCAGGTAGCAGGAGAATCGCATATTGAAGCGCCAGCATTCTGTGAATCACTCATAGAATTAAGTGTGTCCTTTGTTACTGCTGTGATGTCAATACTGAATTTAGTCCGCTTGCCAATAAAGGATAAAAGGATAAAGCATTTGCCGTTGATCAATCCCTTTTTGGGATGCGGCACGCATTCTACTTCCATTTGTACATTCGCAGTGGCGTTTGAATGCGATGTGGCCTATACAATGACTTGCGGGGGCCAGCCGATGTACAAGTCAGTGTTTTTATCCTCCCAGACAAGTCTGGTACCAATTAACCGACCCCGGAGGATGGGAAGGCCACCCCCGCTGATTTGCCACGACCTAGATTTGAATCCCGGACCGCTCGCGTGGGTGAGCGCGCACACTGTCATTAAACACTTTCGCCCTATTTAGTTATTATTTATTTAATTATTTATTTATCATTTTTTACTATTTATTTATTTACTTTTATTGTTTATTATTTATTCATTGGTTTATCTCGCTATTCAATACAAGATTTTATAAAATACAGATATGTGAAAGTAAATTTTGGAATGCGAACGTATAGTAGGTTTGAACAATTGCGTAGCATCTTGCCTGTTGAGTTTTACGATGAGGTGGGGAGAAGTAACATTTTCTGTGGCGCATACACGCTCTTGCTTTCACGCACAAGAGGAGGTGCAGCGCAGTGGGACGCTCACGAAAATCATATTTTGGTTCCCCAACGCCAGAATGAAGAGGTAGGCACAAGATTTGTGTGAAAAAGGTCCTAACTGGGCACGCCTTCTATCCGCAACCACTCGCCGCCCTATAGGTTGCACATCCTATACCTTCTGAAACGCAAATGCGTAAGTTGATATAACAAGCACACGATTGATGCGCCGACTACCTCGAGTGAGAATGGGCCAGTCCTTTTCTCAAACCAGTCAAGGAGCGATAAGTGAAAGAAAGATCAGAGAAAGAGATTACCTTTCATTCTCAGGTACATGGATGAAAATATTGGCGAAAGTTTCAGAGAGTCTAGCTGTCATTAGCGGTTCTGGCAATTCCCTGAGGTACTGTTTCAACATATCTGCGACGTCGTGCACCCTTAACATCATGACATTAAAGGTTAATTGGGGACAACACCAAATACCAGATAGAACATAGCTCTTGAGTACTATCATAGATGTAGAGGACTGAAGAATCAATGCAAAACCAGCCTAACCTGTCCCGGATCAAGGCGATTCTCATCGATGAACACGTCGACGTCGGCGTCGCGATCACACACGGCTCGTAAGCTCAAGGATTCGCGATTTGACGCCGTTCTTCCGGAAAGAATACACGGTATCCGTGCATTTCCCGAAGTACGTAAACCTGCACTTGCATATACAGGGGGGGGGGCCAAAAAAAAGACATTTTGCCTCCACTTCCAGATGGATTTAAGCACATTTTACTCAACTCAGACCGAACGGTTCCAACTTATTATTAAAGAGTGCATTCCATTCTATAAGAAAATCTTCATAGTGGCCACGTACGTGGACGGCATCAGAAGAATTAGCCCTGGAAACATGGTGCACTGGTCGATCTCAATGGGGTCTTCGAAGGATCGTGTACCATAACGACCCTTACTGGAAAGCTAGTTCCGAGGGGATTTGCACAGTGGTAGCTAATGCCTCTAGAAAACTATCCAACATTAAATCGATTCACGAAATTGCGTAAGAGCTTCAGGCTGAAGCTCTTACGGTAGACCTCCTTGAGCCTGACGACGGTGACAGATGACGTCATATTCTGAAGACGGTGAGGGCAGTGAAGGAGAGCCTGCGTACACTAATAGAGGAACACTTAGGGAAATACTCTGCTGAGGAACTCCCGTCAACGACAGCAATCTCTGCGAAGAAAAAAGAGCCGAAGTCCGACATAGGCAAAATGTCTTTTTTTTTTGGCCCCCCCCCTATGTACAAGGGATTAGATGTATCGCTTTGAGTAAGGCCAATTACATGGTGCCGTGAAATCTTATTGGTCTTCTCCAGCAGGATCCAGTTCAAATACAAGTCCTCACTACAGAACTCTATCAACGTACTGCTGAATCTAAGGATAAATTCCGCAAGCGCTGGCGCTCCCATCCTTCATTCTGCGAT